CAAGAAATAAAGCCATTAGATACAATCAAAATTATAACCCAATATTAAATATCTACATTTATATTCATCTTTCAACTTTTTAACTTTGTCTTCGGTTAAATAACATTTAGTTTTTATTTGGTTTTTCACATAAATTGATAACATTTTTTCTAATATGAGCAACCTTGAATAATATTTGTTTTTTTTATTGTTTTATATGTGTCTATTTCTATTATTAATTGATCAAATGAAAATTTGATTCTAATAAACAAAATTATTAAATACAACTAGATACATGATCTATATTACAAAACTTAGTTCATTAGGTACCAGCTCGAGTCAGGTTGGATGACATTAAGCCATTAAGGATAGATCATTAAGGAAAAGTGGTTATGTGGCTATGCATCTGGGTTCACATTGAAATAATTATTGAGTAAATCTTTTTTTGAATTACCATACAATCCATTATGAACACGTGAAATGGAAAACAAGTTCATTTCACAAACAAGATAATATTAAAAAATGAGGTCCATTATTTGCAATTATCTTTTTAAATTGATTGAAATCTTTTCGATTGACTATGAGGGTCTTGTCATTTTTCTTCTTCTTCAGTAGATATTGTTTCTATCCAAATTTCTTTCTTGTATAAAAATATTACACTTGGACAAGTTTAATATTGCCTGATATGACTTGATTCCTCTCTGTAACCATGGAGGCCACAGTTTTTTATGTGCCTTCCTCATTCTTTTTTGTTTCTTGTTTAGATGGATTGCATAAAATCTAAAAGTGGGATTTAAAGTAAAGTTTCTTATGAAGTTGCCTTTCATAGAAAACTTCACAACTTAACAAGTTCAACACTACTACACCATGCCTTTAAAGATCTAACTAAAGTTACTAAACATGGGCCTTTGATGCATCTTTAACTAAGTGAAAGTTTTGTAATTGTAATATCATCGTCAAAGATGGTTAGAGAGGTGTCGAAGACTAATGATATTATCCTTGCTTAGAGGCTAGAAAGACTTGCCTTTTAAATTTTAAAATTTGGGATAAAAGATATTGCCTTCTTTCTATAAGGTGATTACTTGAGGTAAATAAGGAAAAATTGTATAATGGAACTCTTAATTCCTAAGATAATTCTCCGTTATTCAACATGACGAGGTTTCAAAACTCATTAAGTCCATTTAGGCATTCACAAGAAGATTGATAGATTTTAATGAAAATATTTTCTTTTTAACAAGTGTAATAACTTGTAAAACAGTATTGGGGAACTAATGAAAATACCAAGATGCAATGATATCACTCACCAAGGAAGGATCTTATTTGACATGAGGTTTCAATATGGTAGACTTATATCTTTCACTATAGTTTTTTCTAGCCAATAAGATAAAATCTAAACTAAAAAAAGTACTTAAATAGATAAACACGATCGTGGGTTGTATCATTAATGAGCACAAGGAAAAGTTGAGGGAAACATTGAAATAATGGAGGAGGATTTGGTTGATGTTCTTTTAAGATTTCAAAGGAGTGAAACCTTGAAATGCCCTATTAAAAATAATCATATTAAAGTTGTCTTTTGGGTAAGTGCTTATAGTATTTACTTTTTTTCTACAAACTTTCCATTACAACTAAGCTTTATGAAGGGTAATTGTTAATTGTTACCTACGTCGTGTTTGGTTATTATTATAGGATAGAAGTGACAAATACAAAAGAATAAAAAAATATTCAATTGAAGAAACAAAGATTTATGTCACTATGAAGGTTCTTTAGTGAATTTTTATTGTTTCAAGACATGATAGACGAAGATATGTTTCCTCTGTTTCCACTATTTTTATCTTATCTACCTTAAATAATAGTAAAAAACTATCTTATATCTAATATCAATACAAATTAAGTCCAATATTAGTTCAAATATAAATTCTTATTTTTTTTTAATTTTTATTAGGGATATGTTTTTTTGATGGAATATAAATTCTTATTTTTTTTAATTTTTAGTAGGGATATGTTTTTTTTATGAAACTATTAATTCATCAAACAATAGTAGAATGAGCAATGATAAAAATAATGAAAAACCCTACGGTCTTAAAGAAAGCACAGGCTGAGAAAAGACAAGCCTTCAAAGAGAATAAAATAATTATAGAAGTAGACATTCAGTAACTAAATTATTTAAAGTCAGTAATCAAATAAACTATGAGGCTACATCCTTTTGTCCCCTTGTTACTTCTAATAAAAAAGTTGAGAAATATGTGAGATTGATAGGTATGTAGCACCTAAAACCAAAGTGATGGTCAATACTTGAGTTATAATGAGTGATCCTGAGTACTGGCAAAATACTTAAAACTTCACCCTTGAAATTTTAAATAGCAATACTACACTTGATTTTACATATACTAACTTCATATATATGCTATTTAGAGCTAGAAAGAGGATGTTGATAATGTCTTAAAATTCAAGATATATAAATAATAAGTTGTTTAGTGTTTGAGATAATGGTTAATCAATTTGTTTTAATAGTTATATTTCTTCTTCTAGACTAATGAATTCTTAAGCTTGAGTATTGCAAAAACAGTTTTAATCGGGGGGTTAAAGACCCTTTGATGATAAAGTCAATAAATTTATAAGAAATACAATAAATAAATTAAAAGAGCCTTAAATTCAAGGAATAAAGATATTTTTTTCTTAAGTTTTAAGTTAGTTAATGATCTAAAATCTATTAATTTATTTTAAAAGATAAAAGTTCTGAGCCCTTACCTGGATAATTAGAAGGCATTTATACCCCATGAATCTTGTCGTTTTCAGAGAAAAGAAGGACTAAAAAGCCCTTTTCTTTCAGTGACATTAATGGGAGATATATATATCTTTTACATATAATTAATGAGACAATAAATATGATAGGTTTATTAAGAAACCTTGAATACACTTATTAGCATAGGAAAATAATTGCATTAATATGGATGATTATTCTAGATAAAAAGACATGACAATTTGTCATGCTTTCGATACTTTTATTTTAGGGGATAATATAAGATCAACCATATAATGTGAGAATTTAATAATGGTTAAATCCAAATATTTCAAGTTTGACATATTTGTCAGATTCATATTGCCTTGAGCATGATTAACTATCTAGCTTAAGTGCTTTGAGTTTAACATGGTTGTCAGACCTTGGGTGTGGCTAATTGTCAAGCTCAATTGGTCTTGGTCTAGTATGATTGCTAAAATCATGCCATTTTGAACTTGGCTGATTGCCAAGTCCAAGTTTTTTTTTTTGGTCTGGCATTTATGTGAGGTCCATGCCACCTTAGGCTTGACTAATTATTATGCCTAAGTTATTTAGGTCATGTATGCTCGCCAAACTCATATTATCTTGAACTTGACTAATTGCTAAGTTCAAGTTTTTTGGATCTGACATATTGGTTAGACTCATGCCATCTTGGGTATGGTTGACTGCTAAGCCCAAGTGTTTTGAGTCTGGTAGGTTTGCTAGACTCATATCATTTTAGGCTTATTGATTGTCAAATTCAAGTTCTCTGTATGTGACATGTTTGTCAGACTCATACTATTTTGAGCTTAGCTAACTGCTAAACTCAAGTTCTCTTGATTTGACGTGTCTTCAAACCCATTTTGTTTTTAAGATGATTTTTATTTATAAAAATCTATAAAAAGGGTCGACTTATGAGATATGTCCTGATTAATCATTTGGTGCGGTAAATATTGAGTTTTTTTTTTTTTTGCAAGTTTACTCTTATAATTGTAACTGGGAACTCTCAAATAGAATCACATCAGAGAATTAAGATTTAGAAAAGCTTAAAAATAGGATATAGACATCATATTATATAGTTGAAATGTATATTTTCTTTGTTGAATATTTGAACTATTTAAGACATATAAGGATAAATCTCTACTACACAATCTTAATAAAACAAGTGAACTCAGTTCAAACATATAAAAGCCCTTGTAAATTTCACAAATCATCCTCACTCTTTATTTTTTTTTTTTACTTGTATAGAGTAAATCATAAATTAATATCTTAGTTATGTAAAAAAAATTAAATAATATTTCTCATTTTTAAAAACCAGTTAGTTAGTCTCTTAACTAATTGTTGATACTATTTAATTTAATATTAATGTTTTTTTAAAATATTATTTTTTCATGATATCTATCTTTTTTTAAAATATTATTTTTTCATGATATCTATCTATTTTTTTTATCTTTTCTATTTCTTAAAATAAAATAAAAAAAGTGGATAAATAGAAAAAGAACATGAAATAGACAAAAAAAAAAAAAACTCAAAAGGGATTATTTAAACATTAGACATTTAGGGAAGTCTGAGATGGTGATGTATGATATTTTTTAAAGTATTTTGTTATTTAACAATATATTTAAATATATTTTTTATTATTTTTTGTATTAATACATAAAAAATACTAAAAAATATTAATTAATATTTTTTAAGTTAAAAATATTTTTGATAAGCATTTAAATACAAAAGCTATGCTAAACACTTTTCAAGAAAAAAAAAAGGTTGAATTATTTTTAGTAGAAGGTGCTCCTCTTTCTGTGAGAAAAATACATTAATTCTCTGTACTATTCAAAATTTAGATACTTCATATTTTTCATCCTTTTTAGCTAGCATACTGCAATAATCCCATTTTTCTCTAATATGAGAATTAAAAAAAATAGCTTTTCTTAAAATAAATCAGGTTTTAATTAGTGAACTTATCAATTCACTAAATTAATCAAATTACATATACGGACTAACTCCTTTGAAGTTTAACTTAAAACTTCAATCGAAGAACATAATCATTTCAGTAAGTTATTAGATTAACTGGTAAGATCGGTTCGAGTTTGATAGGAAGCATCACAAACATTGAAGTGCAATTATCAAATACCAACAATTCAATTATTGAAAATCATTAGAGTTGAATATGCTGAAACAATTGGTAAAACATGCCGCGCTTTCCAAGATAAAGCAGAAATTTGAATTCAAACAGCGCCTCTCCATCATTCACTCCCACTTTGCCACCTGTCTGTCCTTAATCTTTCAAAACCTCAAACACACCAAAAACCCGAACTTCTTGTTTTTTTTTTTTTTATCTTCTCTGTTCTTCTCCTTCTTCTCTCTTTCCTAAAGATTCAATCTTTAATGGCTTCTCGCTACAATTCCTACGATTCAAGGTCCTCAACCACCTCATACTTCTCAGACCCATCTTCATCCGCTGAGCTAAGCTACAAACACTCAACTTCACGCGCAATTGTCAAGTCCAAACCAGCAGATTTGTCAAAAATCAAGGTAAAAAACAATGGAAATGATCACAATCTAAGCAAAATGGTGAAGAAATTCATGGAGAAGAAATCAGTATCTTCTGCGTCGAGTAAAGGGTCATCGAGTAAGGCTGTGGGGTTGGTGATTCCATCGGATCTAATAGCCGAGGACTTGAAAAAGACTGCGAGGAAAGGAACTGGTTTTATGGGGTTGCAGAAGAAGTTATTTGGAAAAGAAAATAAGGAGAAAAAGGAAGTGAAGGCGCTGACAGAGGCGAAAGTGAATAGTAATACAAGGACTTTAGCTATGGTTTTGAAGAGTGAGAGGGAGCTTTTGAGTGCTAATAAAGAACAAGAATTGGAGATTGATAAGCTTAAGTTGATGCTTGAAGACAAGAACAGAGAAGTAAGTAGTGATTTTGTTGATTGTTTTTCCTCTTTGGGTTTTGGTTTTTGAGCTTATTGCTGGGTTTTTTTTTTGTTTGTGTAGGTTGAGAAGTTGAAAGATTTGTGCTTGAAGCAAAGAGAAGAGATTAGATCATTAAAAAGATTTGTACTTTTTCCTGACGCAATGAATTCTCAGCTTCAAGAGTTATTGAAGCAGCGAGGATCAGAATTGAAGCAAGCCAAACAACTCATTCCAACTCTTCAGAGGCAGGGCACTTCCCTTACAGGACAATTGCAATGCCATGCAGAGGATCTTGCTGAGGTATTAACCTGAAAAGTTATCAATTTTTTGGATTTTTGAGTGGATTTAATTGTGGCTGGAATGAAATCTAAAGATTGTGCATGTATAAGTTCCTTGCTTTCTAGTCTATGGGAGAGTCCTTGAAGATATCAATGAAAGATTTAGTTGCATGAAGGAGCATTAAGGTTCTCCAGTGATTATTATGCTAGCTGTATGTAATTTTCCATCTTAATTAGTAATAGCAGTTTTAGTGTAAAATCAGATTCATCTTCAGATTATTAAAAGCAATGCTGTTCAAATTATAAGGTTTGTTGTTGAAGGGTTTGGGTTTGAAGCATAGTTATAATATCCGATCCAAGACTTAAACTCTAGGTCAAGTCAGGGGTACACCTGTCAACTCAAGCATTGATTTTTTTCTTTTAAGAAAAAAAGTGTCTCCCCTCAACCAAAATAAGACATTGTCCTCAATGTTCTAGGGTAGAAAAATAGAGTATAGAAGACATCACCTGAAACATTAATAAAACCAAAAGGGGGTTGGTGAGTCACCAAATTGACCTGTTAAGCGTTGGTTCTCAAGCATATCTTTTGATGTCAGATATAATGAAATTATATATCATTATATATGTTGGGCGTTATTTGCATTATTGTATTTCTTCGCAATTTGTTGGTATTCTAGGCAGCTTATTTATTGAGCAGACTGCATTTTTATTTAAAGTTTGTTTAAGTAGGCGTATGGGGTTGAATTCCTCATTTATTTACCACATTTTTGTTGATAAAATCTTCAAAATTCAAACAAGGATGGCTTTATGATAGTATTTGGGGTGTACAGTTGTTTATTGTAGTTTTCTTCTTGAGAAGGTGAAGGCAGATAAATATGCAAGGGCACATATCCAATATCATGGCAGCTCACCAGGGACACCAACGTATGATCATGAAGAAACTGCAAATTCCTTAGTAAGCATGCCATTTTCCTACTCACATTTTGCGCTATAGTTGACAGTTGAACAACAAATAAGTTACTGTTTTTGTCAGAATACCCTGTGTGCACTGTATTAAGAAAGGTCACTGTTCAACTCCTAGCAAAGAGTCACAGTTCCCTTTATCTATTTACTTTTCTGAGAATGAATTTGGTGATTATTTTTATAGGCCATCAGGTAATAATTGTAGAAGTTTCCTTGTGGCTTAAGCAATGAAATGTTGTGTGCTAAAAATGCCATGATCTTCCAAGTTCTGCTTTACGAACTTTATAAGCTTGTCGAGTCAAATTTTCTTTCCTTTACCTGTTCTTCCGTGACAATCTGTCTATAACAATTCAGGAGTTTAGCTCTTGCGATGGTGCAACCCCGGGTAGTCCAGATGACACGTTTCTTAAGGATTTTAATCCATGTTTAACGCCCTACTGTGCCAAGAAAAAGAAGGTCAGCAGATAACGCTCCTTGGAGTTTTGATAATATCCAGCCCAAAATGCTTCTCCTATGACATGCACTCTTTGCAACCTCGCAAGGATAATACTGACAGAATGGACATTTCTTGTAGGAATTCGAGGCAATAGGCTACGAGTCTTCGCTTGATGGGAGCTTATCAGGGAGCAATACACAAATGAGCAATGAACTTAGCTTCAGCTCTCATGTCAGGAAGTTATCCAAAAGTTCAGACTGTTACCAGAATTCCAACACAGGAAGCACAATGACCCGAGCAACTCGCAGGTCAGATGAAAGCAAAGGAGCATACAGAAAGCATATGCAGCAGCAAAGACATTTCTAGCATCTTGCTGGTGATTCTGCTCTCACGAGGCATGTCTGTCATCAATCGATGCTCTTTTGTACTTTTTATGCTGATTATGGACTATAGTTGTATTGTGAACTTTGCTGTAATGTCTACTAGATGTAAATGGTACCGTCTAAGCACTTGAATAAGGGATGGAAAGCCATGTGTGAGTGCATTACATGTTATAAGAAATGCTGCACGGTTGTGCTACAGTATTAATCAAGTGCCATTTGTTTCAAATATGAGCTTCCGAGAGAGTATTTTGATGGTGCAAACTATTTTCTTCATTGTTACCAAGATTTTGGTGTTCGGCGCTTAATGGAGAAATTTAGTTAAAGATAAGGGATTGTTAGAGTAAGAAAAAAGAAAACTCGAATTATTTTTTAAAATGTATTATTTCTCAAAATTGAAAGCTGGTTTTTCAGTTTTCTAAATTAATATGAAGTTTGAAAAACATATTTTATAGTTTCAATAATTTTCCTTTATAGTTTTTTCAAATAAAAAAATCATGAACAGTATAATTTCTTTTATATACATGTATTTTTTTATATTTTAATTAGTATCATAAAATTAATTTTTATTGTAAATTAAATATAATTTCTTTTAGTCAATAATATAACCTTTTATGATATTTCTTAATTTGAATAAAATAAAATAAATATTCTATAATTAGACTATCATACATTCAAAATATTGAGATGACTATTATAAATTATAATTTTATTCTTTTAGAAAAAAAATAGTTGTAATATTGAAGTATTTTTTATTTTTTGATGGAAAAAAATATCTCCACTCTAAAAAAAACCCATTTTCAATTTTTTATTGAAAAACAAAAACAAAGAAAATAAAAAAATAATTTTCTATTTTGGAAAATATTTACCTTCATAAACCATAGTCAATTAAAGCAATGGCTAATGTAATAATAATTATTTTTTACTTGAAAACATATCAAAATAATTTTGTAATTTATTTTTTATATTAATTCATTAACATAATAAAAAAACATTAAAAAATATATTTTTCAAAAAAAAAATACAGTGCTTCTCTAAAAACAAACACACCCTAAGAATGAGAATTGTCACTGGACAAGGCGGGTTTCTAGAAAGCCAGTACACTATTATGCAGAAGAAGCTTTCGAAACTTCGAAAACGGAACACTGTACAAAACTGGTGGTAGAGAACACAATTTATTCATCATTTTGCATTAGAACTTTCACGTGTTCTAACTTTACATTTTGATAGTAAAGCCCTAGCTTATTACAATGCTGCAGATTTCCATCATAGCCCTAGCTTATTGCAATGCTGCAGATTTCCATCATAAACATAACTCCAGTACCTCAGGCCATCCCACCACTAGATGCTGTCCTAATTATCTGAAAAAGAGCTGCCACGCAAAGGAGTAACAAGAAATTCAGCGGTGAATGCATAACATCAAACACAGGTTATAATTACTGCACTATAAAACACAGTTCTGAAACAGCAAGACACCGAGGTGGTATTATTTTTAACAACAATCCAAGATAAACATTTCTTTCAAACAATTTGTTCACTTTAACATTTCAGTACTTTAAACAAGGAGTTGCCTTTGGGTCCATTTGGGAGTATAATCTCAAAATTGATCATCAACTAGATGGAGGTTTAAACAAAGTTTACGAAGAAAACTTTCATTTGATGCTGCTGAAAACAAAGTCCAGAAACTAGATGGCACAAATCAAAGTGAGACATCCATAAAAATATATCAATAGTGTAAAAGTTTAGAGGGAAAAAGGGGGGAAAGACTAAAATCACCCACAATATCTCTCCACCTCTCACTTCAGCAGTGACCAATAAACTTGCTGAAGATGACACAAATACTTCAGCAGTGACCAATAAACTTTCTGAAGATGACACATATCACTAGCTATACATCAAAATTCTTTTGATACCAAGCCAGCAATTGCTCACAATAAACCCACAGCAAAAAGCACCTCCAAAAATTGACTGCTAAAAATTTTGCAATAGATAATGATAAATGGATTACACAAACCTATGAATTTTCACGGATAGAAGATTCAAGTAGCAAATTCATAAAAATAATGCAAGAAACAATAAGATAGACAGAACTTAAAGAGTTCAACAAGGTAGAAAGAACATACATGATCCAATTACCACAAAGACAAAGAATCCAAGTAGTATTGGCCCGACTGGGTAGTCATATCCTTTCTTTGTCGAAGTTTCAGGAACAGATCCTCTCTTAGTGATATTCTTCTGAAACTTTGCCACTTTCCTCTCGGAAAGGCGCTTCGAAGTTGTCTGTCAAATCCAAATGATAATCAAAACAAGTTTTTATGTATCCTATCTAACCAGGAAAAGAACATAAATGCTAGACTAACAAAGCTTGACATCATATCAAAACCATTAGGCCGCAATCAACCTTCAAACCACAACAAACAAAACTGCAAAAATATTCCAAAATCACAATAAGAGATGAATTTTTTTGCTGCTATAGTGTTATCACAAGCTTCTTCAGTGAAATGGTGAAACTAAAATCAAAATATCCATTCTGTGACACAACTGATATGAGCAATATCCATTTCTAATTTTTCCTTTACATGCCTTCTATTTTATTTCTTTTCTCCAATTTGAAACTTTCATTTTCCTGTTTCACAAGCAGAGAATTTTATTAAAGAGAAAAAATGTAAAAATAAAAAACTTGATCAGTTTAGCATACAGATCCCCTTTATTCAAGATTCAACAAAAGGAGCCTCCTTTCACATTCTTTTAGACCCAATGTATGAATTAAACAGAAACAGAACAACTGATCCATCAAAAACATGCAAGATATGATCAAACCAAGAACACGCAACAAGATCATGGATTCAAATTTAAGACTTGTACAATTTAGAGCAAACAACCATAAAAAAAACTAAAAAAAAACCGATAATTGTTCAATGAAAAAACCAAAACATAAAAACCCCACAAACATTTATCTTCATAAAGCACAACAGAAAAACAAACAAAAGAGAAGAGATTTCATTACCATTGTTATGGTCCCTCTGTGTGAGATGCAGGGGTTCCTCTTTTCTAACAAGGAGAAGACTTGTTGCTGGTGGTTGATTTTAGAGGTGAGACGTGACACCGAACAGCTGTCTGCTTCTTATAAGCAGTAGCAAGCAGCAGTATTTGACTTTGACTCCAGCTGGTTGGATTGGTAAGAGGGGACATAAATTGAAACGCGGATTTTTCCTGGCTTTTTTTTCTGGAAATTCCGTTTCTAAAATTGGAAATGAAATATTAACTTGCCAATATTTCATGAAAAAAAAAAATCCCTTCATTACAATGACTTGATCCTCGTATATTTGGGAAGGAGTTTGCGGTTGACTTGGTCTGGTTTGGCTGCATCAATCATGTCTTATCTAATTTGGCTAAATATCTTTCCATTCCTGTTTTTTTTTTTTTTTTTAAAAAAAAACATGATTAATATTTTATTAAATGAAATTTAGCAAGAATTCATAATTAGTCCTAATATTATAAAAAATAATCACAATCATTTAGCATATTGTACTCTTTGGTGACTAATAAATATTTATGTTCTAATTTATAGTGAAATAATTGTTGGTCAAAAATGTAATCTAAAAAATCCAGCTCATTTTTTTATAGAAATAAACACTTCAATATTTATTGTGTACTTTTGGTAGTATTAATCTTAGTTAATTTGCAACCAATCATATTTATAATAATTTTAATGTCCAGGGTTGACTTGAAAGAGTACTGGACTCGTGTTAAATTTGTAGTTAAACTAAACTAGCCTAAAATCCGGTGACCAAACCTAACATAATTAAAATCTTGTAAAAAATAATTTTTATTTATTTATTTATTTAATTCAAATTAATTTTTATATATACATTTTCATGTCATTTTAATTTGTAATGATATTAAAAATATCTTAAAAAACAAAATATTATTATTTTGATATATTTTCAAATAAAAAATATTTTTAAAAATAATCATTATTAAATATCAAATAAGGTAAAATCAAAATTCAGTTAACATAATCAAACCTAGTATTGTTAAAATCTTATAAAAAAACATCAAAAATCAAGTTAACATGACCAAACCTAACATAGTTAAAATCTTATAAAAAAAATAATCAAAATTTAGGTTGACATGATAACTCACAAATTAACCTACCTCTTTTTAGATAACCTAGCTCTTTTCAGATCGGAACTATCAATTATGAAAACAGGCATTGTTTTTCTACTTGAAAATGTCATTGTTAGAAGCTGCCTATTAGTCTAAATAATAAAAATGGATGAAAAGAGACTAGTAAAAGGACTTCCAGATTCAGAAACTCAAGCTGAACGGTAGATAAAAGAAACGAAATGCTCAAATGAACTTGTAGACCATCAGCATCCACATAACAGAGAATGGCAAGTAAAAAAAATTTGCTTTGATTCCTCAATCTTGTACTTGTTGCTGATACAGACGAAATTATTTTTGGTTTCAAAGGAGGGGATCATAATTCCCCAAACCTGTTGAATTATACAAAAAAGAGAACATTATTCAACAAAGACATGTACAAGAACTGAAGAGAACAATATTTGGGCCCAGATGGCAAGGGGAAACAGATTACAAAAGCATGAAATCGATTCTTTTATCTATCTAAAGGGCTTCTAGTATAGAATATATACACGAGTAAGAAGGGTACGAATAACAAATCTGTTTACTCTATCAAAATTGAACTGTGTTTTGCAAAAGGATATCCCGAGAACAAATAAATATTCAGCCACAGTGGTTGGTGTTGTAAACGAGACCAGGCCCATGCCTTGGAGAGCCGAGACCAAGGATGGTAACCTCGTGAAATTGCAACTTATTTGTAGAATGGAGAGGGACTGGAATGTGGTTACCAGTTATGCAATTGAGCAGTTACGCTTTTTACCACAGGGTGATATTCTGTATGCATGTGCCGTTTAGCTTTCTCCGAACCAGGTTGATCAAGCCACTCATCATACAAGGATTTAACAAGAGGATTCTCAAAAGGATCTTTCACCAAAATCTACGTGTCCAGAAAAAAAATTGTTATATTATGGAAGCATAATTATGGAACGATTAAAACAAGAGTCGTACACAAAGACAGAACAGATAAAGCATGTGCATGAAATAATCCCCGTTCAAGTTGCCCTTTTCAGGGGGACTGGAGAGGGGAAAAGGTAACCGCCACAGCTTGAGTGTATTTGAGACGATTTGTCTCATCCATCAAAACAACAACTGCAACCCTAATGTAATTTACTTACAGACCATCAGATTTTTATGTCACTTTGGTAATCTACTATGTTCAGCAATCTCAAGGAGATCTTGCACGACAATAAATAATCTAAGACACAGACCAAAACAGTCGAGCTTTAGAAGTGGCTCAGCCACAGGATAGCAGAATTCAAATCCCTGAATAGATCAGGTTTGATATCTTCCTTTCGAGAACAGCTTTGATGGTAAGAGTACCTCATAAGCACAGATACATAAGGTCGAGAGCCATAAGCATTAAGCTGAAAGTTGCAAATGGTAATGTGTTTGATTATACTTGGTGCAAAACAATTAAACATGAGCCCCTAGATTTAAAAGAAGAAGAAGGCATCAAACCAATCACAGTATGCATAGGCCTACAAAAATATCTGCAATATTAGTGAAACTCACATTTTCCATATAAATAGTTTCTAGAGACTGAAGCAGCTCCCTTGGAGATTGTTGAGGCTTTGGCTTGATTTGACCACCACCATTCAGGCAACCTGTTTGGTAATAAAGCTTAGTGAGTTAAGAATGTGTCAAATTTCAAGTGAAAACTGAATACCAACTAGATTAAACTGAAAGCCCCAATCAAGTGAGGATAGAAAGGGGAAAAAAAAAGAAACCTGATGGGCATGCCATAATCTCCACAAAATGATAATCACATCTTCCCATTTTGACTTTTCTTACAATATTTTGTAGGTTTTGAAAGCCGTAACATAGGGCAAATTTCAGTACAACTTTTCCATCCACCTACATTGATGAGAAATATCACATCAGAAGCAATAACCAGATGTTAAAGTATGTACATAGAATTATCAAGTAAGTGTAATTGAGGCTTAAGTTATGGAACTAAGGTAAACAGGACACAGAAAAGTCAGTATTTTTTGAATTGTGATGATTATCCCTGATCCATGATGCATCAAAAAACTGTATGAAAAATTTTAAAGTACAACTTCATCTTCTAGAAGAAATGTACCAGATAGGAGAATGCATAACTTACTTCCAAAGTAACTTCACAGAAATCCTTGTTTCTAAGACTTCTGAAGGCCAAAGGCCCTTCAATTTCTTTTCCAAATACCATTCTAGCAGCATACCGTAGCACTGTTTCAGCATAACCACCAGAACTTCCAGGTACTCCATAGAGATACCCTTCTTCACTAACATTTGTCAACCTGTAGAACAGGCATCACATTATTTTTACATCAGCACCTCAACCACATGTGGGATGGAACCTCAGAAAGATTATTGTGGTTCATAGGACAATTGAGAACTCTTACATTTTATCTAGAGGTGAGTCATCTAAGGTTTCAATATCCACTGCTTTTAACTGCAATTTGACCCCAACAAACATAAAGAACAAATACACATCAGCCACCTCTCAGAGCTTGGGCCAGGAAGAAAAAAAGCAGAACTGAACAAGAAAGCTCACATAAACTACCAAATTTGGAAATCTCAATTTCACCTTTATCAAATCTAAGACTTCTCCAGTTGTCAAAACTGAATCAACCTCTGTAATCCTTAGACTATTCTTGTCTGCATCTTCTTGTTCCACTTCAAAAACAAAGTCACCCCTTGCTGCCTCAAGCTTCTTATCATAACAAGGCATCACAGTCACATGGTAAACCTCATCTGGCCTATCAAACAAGTTTTTACCATTTACATAATTCAAGCACAAATGAAATCAGTAAGGTAACTTTCTTCAATATTCCTAACTCTTTTTTTTTTTAAAGAAAGACAGACTACAAGGTTAGAGTGGTTGGGGGGATTCAGATGCAGTGAAAGTTCGTTTAATCTGTTTTTGCATCGTCTTCATTAATTTATTTAGCAGCACAGAAATGGGGTAGGGGTTGACTAAAGAGGAGTGAAAGGGATTGGTCCCTTTGTATGCACAAAGAAGAGCAAGAATGCATAACCAATGGTATATAATGACTCCTAATATTAAATACAGAGATTAGCCATTATAGGGCATTTTAAGATATAGGTTTCCTCACAAAATAAAGTAGGTTATTCCAATGTTACTGTTAAGAAGGTACAATTTCTAACAGACCTGTAACTCCCAACAAAACCTGCTTCACAAAATAAAGCTTAAAGCAAGAATAGGAAAGCACTAACATGGATTGTTACCTTAGGCCCATTTTTTGGCAAATGTGATGCTTGATGGTAGCTCCAATTGTTTGTTGTGGGCTCTTCACAGAAGATATAAAAGGCAGAATGTAGGATCCTAGTTGCTTTTCAGCATAGCATATCCAACCTGCAATTACAGAGAAGATACTGGTAAAACAAATTTAAATCAGAGAACCCTTCCTCCCACATGGCTTCACATTCCACAGACCCATACATAGCCACATTCCATCACAGATTATGCTACTGGAAGCATTCTAAATTTTAATCATGTTTTCGTATGTTGGCAGGGTGTTTTAGTTTTTTATTCTCTTCCTATTCTTCTTTCCTTTTTCTTTTCTAAAGTAAAGTAAGGGAGGATGCTATTTATTTTCTGAATTATAATAGGCTAAGAAATTAACCTGGACATGCTGAAGAAAGCATAGGCAAAGATGGATTAGATTTTTCATCAATGTTCAACTGGCTCTGTTTGTAACGACAAACAAACTCATAACAAGTCTCTACAAGTGTTAAGTCCCTGCTGCAACTTGTATCAAATACAGCCTTCACTCCCAATGACTTAAAAAACGTTGTGAGTTTCTTAAAAACCTGCAAACTCAAAAAGCATCTTGAGTCATTAGAATTTTGCAGAAAAGAAACACTATATTATCTCATACCCTATCAAAATACAGCCCAGTGACCACCTGAAGTGGAGAGATGCCATAATAAACAGCGAGAGAAGCTCTTGATTGTGGAGAAAGAGAAACAATGATAGCTTTTCCTTTGTCAATATTGGATAAGAACTCATCCAAACTTTGCTTCTCAAGCATAACTGTCTCTGCTGATGTTATACACCCACTGCATCATCACAAGAAAAAAAAAACATAAATCCTAAACCTCTACCCAACCAGTATTTTGACAATAACAACATACATGCAACACTAAGCATCACAAGATTTCCACAATTCCCATTAATTCCACATATAACCTTGATCAATAACTAAACATCTCCATATCACAAATATTTAACCACTACTTATCACCAACTAAAAATAAAAATAAAATCTATTAAACATTAAATTACTTAAAATTTTCAAAACCTCATTCATCCCATATTCTTCTGCCTTCATCAGTAACAAAATTTCCACATCTCCTTCATTAGTACTGAGCATCTCTGACTTTAATCATAATTATCTAGACCTCAACTTAATCAACCAAATTACAAATAAAATACATTTTAAACACTAAATATCATAAAACTTCCACACTCCCATTAATCCCATATTTCATCTACCTCCATTGGAATCCCAAAATTTCCAAAATTCAATAAAATCCATACTTCATTTTGCCTTCAACAACAACTACAAGTCTCTAATTTACTGTTCTTAACAAAATCAACAACAAGAAATTACCTGCAAGCCAAACAGTCCTTAAGAGAAATTTTAACAGGGTCATTCTGCTCTCTATTAGCAATAGCAACCTTCAAAACAAAAACACAGAAAACAAAAATCAATATTTTCACTCAAAAATCCAAAATTTTTCACAAAGTTGAAAACTTTAAGCTCAATTAACACTAATTTGCTAAAAACAAACTCCAGAACTCGCAGAAATACCTCAGGTTTGTCGCGTTTTCTAGTGTTAGGTGTTGTCGTTTTGAGACCTTTCAAAGAAACAACACAAGCTTGAGAAGGAGCGATAAAGTCACTCAGATCTCCAATTCTCAACGTCGGTGAGAATTTCTCCGACATCTCGTTTACTGAATCAGACTTTTCGGTAACCCAAAGAGAGAAATCGAAGATCAAACACAGAGAGATTCCAATTAGGGTTTCTCAGAGAGAGATATATACATGCTGATAAAACTTGGCGGTATTTGAGTTCTTACGGAAGAGAAGTATTATAATGTGGGCGAGTATAGCGTTTGAAGGTTTGTTAGCGTATAGGATGTGATGGTTATGTGGAAAACGAAAGTAAATGATCCTACGTGTTAAGGGTTGTTGAATATTTGTCTTTATGGCACGTGCCGACCACATGCCTTATAGAATATTCCTTTTTTAATTTATGTTTTTTGTTAAGATTCTACTTCTAGCTTGTACCAAAAAGCCGAATCCATGTGCAATGCCGATTTGAAGAATAAATTCTTGCTTCTTAGGTTTTTTTTTTTTTTTTTTTAATTATTAAAATAGCTACTAGATTGAACATGGAAATATCATATTTTATAATTATAAATATCGTTAAATATTTATAAATTAATATTATTTAGACCATGAAGATCCATTAGTTAATCAAGATATTATTTAAATTTTAAATTTAAGTCATAATCTAATAAATATATTATTCAACCAAGGTTATTAACTCATATGTATATAATAAAAATTACATTTCGTTAGAATCAAGATTTGGAATATGTTTTTGAGTTGTGCTAATTTTGAATTTGTTACTCTAACTTAAAAATTCTCTAATTAGAACCATATTATATATATATATATATATAAAAAAAAAGCTCACTATTTCCATATATATATATATATATATATAAAGCTCACTATTTCTTTTTGGATTACTTTTGCATAGAACTTGATTTCTTTATGATCTAGGGATGTTTGGTGAATTTCCAATAATAGGACGGCCAAATTGCTTAGAATTTGATTTCTTTGGACCAAGTTGTGAAAATGATTCACTCTAGTGATGTCTAGTAAAATTCCAATAATGGGAGGGGCCAAATTGAAGAGCATAACAAAGTTGTTATCTCAAATTATGATTTGGCCAATTATTTAGGGTTTTTTTTTCATTCTAAGATAAGTTAAATTCTGTTTTATATAGCTTTTAGGTAGTACCCTAAGTATTTATTATACTTTCATATGGTTACCACTAGACCTCCATTTACAATAAGGAAGTAAGAGGTAAGTTTGCTGTTTTTCGCTAATCCTTCATTCTCTTTATAAAGTATTATAGAACAACTTAATCAATTGAGAAATAAATTAATAGATAATCCGACACAATTTAGCTAGATGAATTAAATTATGAAAAATTAAATTAATTAACTTTTATCCGTTCTATATATATATATATATATACTAATATATTGACTTAACTAAAAATTTAATTTGAATCAAATTTAAATTCCGAGTCAACCAATCAAATAATTACTACAACTATACAAAAAGCAATGCCGAGCCATACCCCCATTCTATTTGGTTAAACTTGTGTTATGTAGATAATAGATGCATAGGCATGTTAGGAAAATGTACTCCTAATGAGATTCTAAAATTTCGGTGTTTCTTCGCCATGCTTGACCAGGAATGATCCTTCCTTTGCTATTGCCGGCATGCGTTTCTTCCATATTCATAGCGAACCTTCCTTGTCCCCAGCTAGAGAGATTTCATTCTCAGGTCTTTGATATTTATTTAAAAAAAAAAAGAAAATTACTAAAAAAGGAGCCTATTTTGGATGCATTGCGAAGTGACTAGTAAATCATGGGCAGTCTAGGATCTAAGACGAGCCGAGAATCTGAAGATGTAACTATCTTCAGATGAATGCTTGTATGACGACAAGATCTGCATGGGAGGGAACCATCCTGCTGGTAATTAAGATTAAACAGAGCGCAAATATTAATTTGACATTCATATATAGATGCAAAAAACACAAGAAAGATAAACTATGACAGACAGAATGAACAATCCTAATCAAAATCCAGCACTCTGAGTCCTAGTTAGTTGACAGAGGAAGCATGCTAAAGACACAAACCATTGATGTATCCACAGAACGCAACGTTGATTTATTGTCAGCATTGAGGTCACAGATCATGCACTATTTTACTTTGCATCTCTTCATATCTAAGAAAAGGCCACCATATTACAGGACATTCCGAATCACATAAATATGGTAGAGCAGGGTGGTGCAATGACCAGAAACGGTAGTTCTGAGAACCTACCACCTTGCACCGTCCTTGCCCTTGTTGCCACCATACAAGCGGAAGAGACTGAAAGAAGAGATACAGGACAAGACAACCATGCTAACACTGACCAACAGCGCGCTTGCTATTCCCTCACCAACTTGGTTACAGAACTTCCCGTACATGTTGCATATCTTCATCCATTGGAGATCAGGCTGTCCCAACTTCGCAAATGATGCCGATTGCACAGCAGCTGCCACTGCAGACAAAGTTAGGTATGCCATCATCTGCACAAACAAGTTGGTGCGGAAACATTAGGTGATTATATCAACATGTTCTGATCTCATACTTTTCTATGGATAGCAACAAATACACCGTCAAACGCAAACGAAAATAGACTCATTCTGAAAATTTATTGATTTCTTTCTCTACTCTTATATTTTGACGAGCTTCATAAGAAAAATCAATTTCTCCTTAACAAGCACTCCAATTTCTTTAAATTCATCGAAGCAATTTCATCTAAATATTTTTCAGAGGTTATGACTTCTTCAATGCCAAACATGTTTCACTAATTCCAGAACATATTCATCATTCATAATGAAATCAATGTCTTTGTTATAAGTTCTTCCATGGAACCACATATAACGAGAGTATCTCTGAGATGACTAATTCATATGCTTAGTCTGGTCCTATACTGATGGCTCCAGGCACGAGGAAACCCCATGAAATATCATCACCAAGAGCTAGGGTTAAGCATAAATGCCACTTTCTCTGTGAGTGCCCAGTTTACTGCCGGACAAACCCATTGTATTCTAATCAATAAGTAAGTTTCCCAGTAGCTTATCAATACTACTTCTAGGATCACTTTCAAGATGGCAGTGGGTTGTCATTGTCAACTTCGGAATTCTGGAGTGCTCAAGCTCCTACTCCAATATTCAAGGGTCATTGCCTGCTTCAAAACAAAATTATTTTATTATATCTTGTTTCGGAAAACTGCCCTACCGGCATTAGTTCGAGATTCACAAGTGTTTCTCATTCTCAAAAAGGAACAACACTACATCATTGAATAATCATAAGATAAAAGCCTAGTAATTATCCAGAACATTTAATTTCGACCACCTAGCATACCAACTGCTGAAAGATACAGATGCTCTTGGGAGAATGGATTATGAAATCCTCTCCTTTCCATTTCTAGATAGCTTGGCTTCACCATTTTTTTATTGAATTCATGTCAGATGGTAGATATTAATCCTAACCAACCTCAAATTTTCAGGTAGCGTACTCCTGAAAAACACAATTACACATGGCATCTGTTGATATAGAATAGAAAGACCTATATTGAAGAAATGGAAAAGAGTTTCACCAGCAATTGGGACGACAGATATTAATGAAGGCCAGTGACAGCATGCATAAGGCACCACTATAATTGGTACTCAATTCTCCTCGCTCACAAGGAAGGTTGACAGGCTCAGTTATCTTGCTCTGGTCGTAAATTAACTAAAGCATACTGAACTAACACTGACATTTAAATCCTAAAATCAGACCCTTAAACCTGTTCAAAACATTTGACACTGAGAACCCATTAGGAGCCTTAAACAAGCAACAACAAACTAGCTAAACCTTACTGAACTAGTAGTGACATTTAAATCCTAAAATCAGACCCTTATGTGCTGTTCAAATCATCTGACACCTGAAAAGCACCAAGTCCAACTTGACCAAGCCATCACAAATGAGAAATGATTTCCTGCAGCAAGTTATGAAATTCCTTTCCCAAACAAAACATATGATTCCACCGATCACTTGATAGTCCTAACAAAGGATGGTGTTGTATTGAATGAACTTAGGTGGGAAATTGGGAGCCATTGTTGCAAGAAATCATTCTGTGACATGTCATTCAAGGAACGAAGAATCTGCTGTGGTCTAATGTGGTTTCTGCTTTCCCAAAAACTCAATGTGCTTCTTGCTCTTGACATCAACCGCCATAAGCACACATTAATTCTAACCAACACATTAAATGCAAACAGCTTCCTTAACAATATTAACTCTTATGGTTAAGATTAATTATGACAAGATGTACAATCAAGGGAAAAGTTAAGAATTTTTTTGAAAAATTAGTTAGACGATTGTCCAGCTAGAGTAGAAAATGGAAATTGGGACAGATTGACATGAACAGGAAGAGACTAGATATTGGAAAAATATGGATGAAGGCATTAATGTTAGTTGTCAAGTTGGCACCAATATACCACCTGTTCACCTAAAAACAACATGAAAGTGGGGCAAGTGTTAAAAACATCCCATAAGAAAGTAGTTAATTGTAAGTATAAACCTTAAACCCGGTGCTAGTGAACAACAAAAAAATAAAAAAAATTGTTGCCCAAAGAAGAATAAAGAAAAGAAATCAACACCTGATCCCCAGAGAAAATAACCCAAGCCACGGGCTTGCTAAACAGAACACTTCCTTTAACCATGCCCACAACACAGCGCACCCCTTGAACCAATGAGTAGGCTGCTGCTATCCCATTAGCCACCACCAAAAAGCTGCATCAAAACAAAACCCAAGTTAGCAAACTTATCATCAAACAGAAAGATTCAATCTTTGGAGCCATTTTTGAATGAAATTGAGAGATGGGTTGATCAGAATCTTACACAAGAGCTTTCATGTCAGTGAATCTTGCTTTCTTTTCAATTGAAAAGATTTCTTTAACTTGAGTATCTGTACCAACAAGAACAGCAGCAAGAACTCCTAAACAACAGATCACACACCTCAAGACCAACTCTGCTAGCCTCACTCTCCTATCAATAACCTTCAAGTTAGTGCCATGATACACTGGTACATTTCCAGGACTAACACCAACACCTAAATAACTCATCTTTTTCTTTCTCAAAAGAAGAGGAGTCGTCTAAGAGATCGCAGGTAACTCTCCAAGTCTCTCGAACTCAACGCACAAAGCACTATCTCACATCTGAACAGTTCAACTACTTTTAAATAGCCATCCCCACGACAACAATATTGTGCATGCTTTCTTTTTATATATATATATATATATATATATATTCAAATGTGTGATCAAGGTCCCCAGGTGTTTCCGGGTCCTATAAAAATTAAAAATAGAAGGATCTATCTGAATATAAATTTTGAATCATAGACTCCGCTTGGAAACTAACTGAAAATTAACTGATTTTTTAGTAATTAATGTCTTTTTTAATTCAATTTAAAATATAATTTGAGTCAAGTTTAGAATCAAAAATTTTCTACATTAATTCTTCTGGTTAGATCATATTTAATAATTATAGTTTCAACTGAAGAGTTCTCCGCTTAGTGTTTTTTTTTTTAAAAAAATTAATTAATTAAATCAGATTAGAAAAGAAATTGGTGGGGGGAATGCAAGTTCATGAAGATGCCAAATGGTCACATGCATGAGCCATACAGACACCACGAGAAAGAGCATTGGATACATTTAGGGCAGCATTTATGGCCACTGTGATAAGGAGGTAAGATGTGAGATTTTTTTTTTTTTTTTTTTGCTTATCTGGGGAGAGGCAACAGTTGCTTGTCCCAAGGGAAAAGGGTCAGATAAGGGGTGAGCCCCGTCTTAATTTCTTTGCATGCAAGCATTGAATTAAGAGTAATTATTTTTTATTTTACTTGATTTTTATCTGAAAAATAATTAAATTAATTCTTTTTAAAAATTAAAATTAGTTTAAATAGACTTATTCTTATTTGATTTTGTTATTTTAGAGGAAAAAACTCAATTGATTGACTTGATTTTTTTTTTCTGGTTTGGATTAAAAACTCAATTGATTGACTTGATTTTTTTAATTTTGTTTTTTTTTCTGGTTTGGATCGGTTATTAAGTTTGATTTGATATTTTAATTTTAAATTTATGAAACTAAATCGAACTGATTAATTTTTAAAATATTTTAATGTATTTAATTAGTTTTTTTTACAGTTTAATTTTTTTAATTATTTTTTTATTTTCTTGATTTAATTAGTTTTTTTATGGCATTTTATAATGGCCCATTTCTTTGTTTTGGTCCACAAAGTACCAGAAACAACAAAATATTTGCTACTTATAGCATAGTTATTGATTCTATTTTATTTTGTTTGGAATGACTGAAACATTTTATATTAATTTAAAAATAAAATAAAATAAAATAATTTTTACTTCATTTGAAATCTCAGTTTATTCCGGATTTTCTAACTAAATTTCAATCAAAATGTTCCGGTCTCATTTTATATGTTTTGTTCTGGACTTGAAAAACTATTGAATTAAATTGAACCTAGTTCAATTTAATTAATTAAATCACCTAGATATAACAAGACTATTTTTCATTACTATTTTCAATAACAATGATATTACTAATAATATTGATAATGATTATTACTATTTTCATTAACAATGATATTATTTTTTCAAAATTAGATTTATCATTATACATATGATTTGTATTCATGTTTTTATTTTTATTTTTATATTTTTTAAGAATTTGAGCAAAACAAATGATGTTTTAGATCTCATTAGCCTTAATAGGATTGATTATTGAATAAATGAATTTATAAAGAACCTAACCTTCTTATTAGAAATGATATAAATTGAGAAATTAATGAAGTATCTTTGTCTACTTTGAATTTATAGAATTAAGAGATATATTTTGATGACAAGAATAAATTTAGTGGAAATGATCAATTGTTGAAATGTTTAATTAATAACTTTTCCGACATATCACCACAAGATCAAAATACTTATTTTTATATTAATGATGGAGATAATGTTTGATTTATGTTTTTTTATGTAAAAATATTTTATTTTTATAATATTTTAAATATTTTATTTTAATTAAAAAATAAAATACAAACGTACAACCTTGACTTGTAGTAGTAGTGATGGAAGTATGAGATAGATTTGATTTTTATTTTGAAATAATAAAAAAAATTGAAACCTCTTGTTTTAATGATAAAATTCATTTTAAAATTATTATAAAAACATATCTATTATATATTTTTATTTTTCCGATCAAACATGTTTATGTACTTTTTATATATGTTTTTTTTATCCTAATACATTAACTAAATATGTTTTTCTTTATATTTGTAAGATAATAAAATTATAGTTGAATAAAAAAAGTATAAAGCTGATGAAAATGATTAAAGTGGTGTATTCGGTGACCATCTTTATCCGGTGGTGGACCATTGTGGGGGTGGCAAGTATGGGTTTCACATGTATTTCTTGATTGATTTGGACATTTATCTTTTTTGAAGAAGATGGGTTTGGAAATCCTACCTTGAATTCAATTCATGGAATTGTAATGATTTTCATTCACTAAAGGTCAAAGGATAGAGACATCATGCAATTGGTAATAATTATTATTTTTTTTTTGAAAATTCATGGATTGCATACCTTTTTTATAATACGAAGTTGGTAGTAATTAATATTTTTTTTTTACACTTTTACTTTCAAATAACATTATCTTTTGTGCATTGTAAAACATAGAAGACGTCGATCTTCCTACATTGCATAACATTAAAAAAAACTATAATATTAAATTTGATCTAACCTAACAAAATGATATATAATCTAGTTTCAATTAGATTTTATAATAATTAAAAGGAGTTAATTTGATATGACTTGATAAAAAATTTAAATTAATCCATCATCTAAGTAATTTTTTCAAAACTCTATCAGCTCTCACCTCTTATTTTTTTTTTAAAAAAAAAATCAACACTAACTAGTGAATTTAAAATCAACCTATTTTATAGTAATTAGTCCATTCTTTAATTAGATTTATAGGACACTAATTACTAGAGATAACTATGACACCAAGTACTTAATCAAGGATCACAATGGTGCCATGGATGACCGACCCTCAAGGATGACACCAACTACTTAATTCCACTAAGAGTGGCAAGAAGAGCAGCAACTCCCACTCACTTCTCCATGAAAAAAGTTCATGCATGGTGTATCTGCTAGATTATATTCCGAGAGACATCCACATATATATATATATATATATATATATATATAACTAAATTATGTCATGTGATTATTATTATTTTTTCATTTTTAATGAATTTGTTTCTGTAAAGGTTTTCTTTTGCAACTTCTGCTCGGAATTCATGTCATAATATTAATATTAATATTAATTGATGAGAAAAGTCATTAGTTGATTTGATTTGTAAGAAGTCATTTCTTGCCATTTCAGAGTATTTTTACATGGGAAGAAAGAAACTAGACAATGAAGATCGTTACCGTAAACTACATATAATTGTGTCTTGTATTTCTAGCCCAATGACATAATTAAAATGTAGTTTCACTTCCCACCATTGATTAAAAGATCAAGAAGGTTACAAAACCCTATTCTTGTCGAGACATGGTCGTGTTGAGGTAGATTTTTTATTCCGATTATCAATTTTAGAATTCCAATTCAACTATATAAAAAGAGGGTGTGAGGGAACAAATCATTATAAATTTATAGTAATGGTTTCCTTATATGACTTGTTTTAAAAAGGTAAAACTCCCCTATGAAATTATTAGTAAAATAGACTTATTTTATGTTTTTGATGCATGTGAAAGGTATAAAGTTAACAACAACATATAAAACACATGAAATTTAATAAGAGAAAATAATTACAAATATAAATCTTAGATTTACAAATTTATTCCATGAAAATTAAGTATATACAAGTTGCTTTTGGAATCACCTAGAAAAATTTAAAAATTTAAGTCTAGCCCTATAATTTAATTATATATTATCTTTATTTTAAGTTGTTAATTCAATTTGACATTATCATATCTCTTTTTAAGTCTAGATTTATATCACTAGTTTATAAAAATATATGTTAGATTATTTATATAGTTTGTCTAAATCAAATCTTATATCACATTCCAAATCTCTTGAGTAATAGATTAACTAGCTAGGCTAATATATATTTCACAACTATATGTTACAAACATCACAACTTATGAATATAAATTAAGGTGTTCATTTCAACATTGCTTTCCTAAGGTCACATGAAGATATATCAATGTGGGACATAATTTGAATGCAACAAGTAACGACACTATCAGAATGGAAAAAAGAAAAGCAACAATCCAAAACTAGTACCGGAAAACCTGTCTTTTTATGACCAAACCAAATTTGCGCCATGAAATAATCCGCAAAATATATATTTGATCCAAAATCTTCAATTCCTAGAATTGTTTGCTCAGGGAAGATAATCAAATTTGCAAGAGTGATGACCTGTCATTAATTCAACAAGAAAAATTATCAGAGCTTGGGGATTACATTGAGTATCAGTACAGAGTTGGGGGACTAATTTTGAAGTTTTCAACTAGAAAAAAACATCTTACTTGGATCAAGATCGGTGATGAGAGCAGCAGCATTGAAGTAACAAGTGGCTCCTTTATGCTTAAACTTCTGATAATAATCATTGAAGGCATAAGAGGCATGATCCCTTATTGTATTTGGCATATAACAAGGTTGATTCATTTGAATCTTACTGCAATCTGCACCTCCCTTCCCACAAGCCCAGTCCATGGCCCTTTGCAACTCATCATCTGGTGTTTGCTCATCAGCTATGCACCATTCCTCAAATTGACCCTCTATAAATTCACCAAAAATCACGATTAAAACAGACATTTCCTTGCTCATCAGGGAGAAAAACTATAGCCTTATCAATGATTTACCTGATTTTTGCAGCATTAAAGCAAGGAAGGACAGAGCTAGGAGAAGAATTCTTGGAAAATTTGGTGACATCATGACAGAAACTTATATCGATCCCTTGAAGTGAAAACTCATATAACCACAAACAGTTCTGATTAGTCCTGTATATTTATTAAGTGAATTTTCCAGATCAAAGATGGTATCCACTTTTTATAAAGTCGAGATTCCAATCTATCTACATTTCTTCGATCTTACGGCAAGAATTCAGGATTTGTTTAGAATACCTATATTACCCTGAATTTTTTTTTTCTTTTTGCTGTTCTTGTTACATATTCTGCAGTACTTTCTTCCATATTATTCT